CTCTGGATGCAGGAATGGCAAATGACACGTGCATCCAGCGAGGGAAGGGTAAAAGGAGGCATTTATTGGCAAACGGGGAGGTTCATGTAAGATGCTTAGAAACAGAGTTCACTGGTTCCAGGGTCTCAAGGCCAGAGTTGTCCTTGGTTCATGGGTAGAGATGGCATTATTGAACAAGTGTGATTTTGAGAGCATATTATCTGAATCACTGTAGTCCTGAAGAATGTCTAGTGATAAACCTTGTCATACAAATATAACTATATGTGCAAAACCTGTAAACCATGCAAAGCAGGAGATTTGTGAAAGACGTGACGGGATTTCTTGAGGAGTCTGTAGAAATCCCTTGAAAACAGTTCTTATCTCAGACACGTAAGCACGAGCCCCCTCTTCTTTGTGCCTTCGCAGACCTATTTTGTCTGGGTCTGACAAAATTGATTTCATCCTGGTATCTGCAAATATCACAATCCCATTAATTATAATGCTTTCAGATTAAACATGACACTATTCAGGGAAAACAGTGAGCGGAAAAAACTTTACCATTCCCTTCCATGTCAATTTCCCCACAGACTAAGACCCTGTTTAAAAAGCAATGCCTTTATAAGTTTAGACTTAAAATCAAAGTCAACTAGGATTAAATATTTAGAGAATTATCCAATCTCCCACTCAAAACGTGTGAATGAGAAAAAACTAAAATGATCTACTATATTTGTAAGAGAAAAAGGCAATATAGTATTTCATGGTTAAGACCCTGAGCTCTGGAATCAGACAGACTTTCGCTGGAATCCCAGCTGTTGTCCAGGCAGCTTAATTAACTCAATCGAACCTCAGCTTCTCCTTCTGGAATATGAGGCTCCAGAAGAATCTACGTCAGGACAGATGCCGTGAAGAGTAAATTCCATGATGCACAACAGTTCCCAGCATACAGTAAGAGCTTAATAAGTATGAACTGCTCCCATCATCATGCTTTCACACTGTCAACACACTCCAATGTCTACCATCATATCAACAAACATCTATTAACTCTTTTAAGATCAAAGCAGTGTGTGAGCTGAAAGATATGGAAAAAACTAAGCTCTTGACCTCAAAGACTTTCTCGGCTCTATCATTGCCGTCATCCATCAGCTGAACCAGGACAACAGTCTCCAAACCAGCCTCTCTCTGCCTCCAGGCTCATCATGCCCATCCACGCTCCTTCCAGCAGCAAGAGGGGGACTTCTACACACAAATTAGGATGTGCTATTTCCATTCCTGAAAGCCTTTCCCGCTGTCCTTAAAATTAAGTCTACACTCTTTCACATCACAAATAAGGTCTGCTCCCTAAACTTCATTCAAAGATGAAAGCCTCATTTTTCATCACTTGCCTCCTGCCCTATTAACTCCTCCATGGTAAGCTTCAGATAGTCTAAATTTATTTCTACTTCCCCAGCCTGGGCCACCCCTGCCTAGGAGTCACATCCCTCTTCCCCAACCTGGCTGACTCCCACTAGACTTTCAGAACCTCAGTACAGACGTCACCTCCTCCAGGGAGCCTTCTCTCACCCACATCTCCCAAACACAGGGTAAAGGCACCGTCTCTGAGCTCACTCCTGTCCTGGCATGGAAAGTATAAGAAAAAAATAACTGTCTGTCAATCAGCCTCCTTCACCACAAAGTGACGGCAAACACTGTGCCTTGCTCACCACCAGATCCTCATCACAGAGCACACAACCTGGCATAACGTAGGTGCTTAGTGTTTGACATGAAAGAAAGTTAACAAGCCAAGAGCAAAGAAAGCTATGATTCCCTTCATGCTTCGGCCACAGATGGGCTCTAGCATAGCCAACGTGCACTGAAAGTGCCTCGCCCTCCCTCGAGTTTGGTTTCAGAGGAGACGAACAACTACTCCATTCCGTTCCTTGCCCAGAAAGGGACTACAAGCCCTTTACCCAATGTGCATGGGAGTCATCACTTGAGTGAACAACATTCAGGTGAGGAAGCAGCAGGAGTTGAAGTTGGGCCAGATCTGGACAGTGATTAGAAGATAATCTGTAGGCAACAGGGATTCAGCAGTGGCTTTGAGTCAGTGGGTGACATGGCCACAGCTGTGCTTTAGTGAGATTGCTCAGGCAACAGATGATGGACTAGGGAGCAAAGATAAGAAAGAGGCAGGGGGTTGGGGTAGGAAGGGGGTCAACGGGTCCAGGCAAGGGCTGAAGAGAGAATGGCCAGCACCTGTACCACAGTGCTGCTACAGGTAGGAAAATGGAGGGACAGTGAAGGAATACTAACAGCACTTTTTATTTTTGCATTGCCTTAAAATTCCCAAAGTGCTTCATTTACAACTGTGATTTTCAAACCTGGCTAGAGATTAGACTCATCCAGAGAGGTTTTTAAAAACACCAATTTCTAGGCCTTACCCCACACCAACTAAATCAGAATGAAACTCCACGAGGGCAGGGATTTTTGTCTGTTTGCTCTCTGTTGGAACAGTGCCTGGTACATGCATGATGCTGAGGAAATATCTGTTGAAGGAATGACTATACAACTATTAACTGAGATCCAAGGAACATACCAAGCTCCTGCTTCCAGGAGCTTACATTTTTCTCACAATAAGTAAACCCTTCCTATTTCTAAAGCATTGCCAATAATACGTGTCTGAATGACAACTGGAAGCTACTCAATGTCTATTATGAGCAAGAGGAAAAGAGAAGGGCCTTAGGCAGTGTCAAATGAAGTGACAAGAAGAAATTTAGGGACATGGGCAGAGGACAATGGGACAGGGTCAAACTCTACCCCTGTGAGATTTTGAGGTAATCACATTGTAAAGGCTCAAGTGTAATGAGGAAGCAGCTATAAACTATCCAGCTACCAGCCCTGAATATTTGAATGAAACCCAAAGGCACATACATACCTATTATTTTTTTCTGACGATTTCTTCAATGTATCTATTCTGGCTTGGTGCAAAGCAATTCTTTGTTTTATATCTGAAAAACAGTGCCACATGGAAATGGATCAAATCTATCAGGTCACACATCAAGGAACTACTGTATTTAGAACAAGGAGCCCTGAGTTCTTGGAAAGAATCATAAAAGTAGCATAGAATCACAGAATCTTGGGGTATCCTTTATATCAGTTCCCCTCAATCACATCACCAACTAGTGGTCATCCAGTCTATACATAAACTTTTCAGTGACGGACAACTCAGCACTCTCAAGTCAGATCTGGACAATCGTAGCTGCCACAGTGGTTCTTTGTATCAGGTTCAGAATCTGCCTCACTGTCACCATGGGTTCTAGTTCTGCCTTCTGGAATAATACACCCCACAGCTCATCTCATCCCTCCATCTGGCACATTCCCCAAATACAAGAGAACAGATCATTCTCCCTAAACATCTCTTTTCCAGCTTCACCCTCTTCAATCACTCCTTCTTGTGTTTATGACTGTCAGAGGCCATAGGTTCCCGATCCTAAGACCATGACAAACATTGGCAGCATTGTGCCTACTGTAGACTCTGGGGATGGGACAGGGCCAGTGCAAGAGTTTGACAAATGTGCCTATGTGAAGTGAGAGTACTTGTGGTAACCTCAGCCTCTCTTTAGTCCTCATGCTCCACCTGAGTTTCTCAACAGTGCACTACTGACATTTTGGGCCAGATAAATCTTTCTTGTAAGGGATTGTCCTGAGCAGTGTATGACATTGAACAGCTTCCAGTAACATTTCCCCATACGTGACAACTAAAAATGTCTCCAGCCATTGTCAAATCTGTATGTGGGCCTGGGGAGTGAGGGAGGGAAGAGGAGCTAAATCACCCTCATCTAGAACCACCACTATACCCAATGACTGTTCACTCACAACTACTAAAAACTCTCTCCTTCACTGGTTTAACTGGCAACTCTCCAAAAAGTTTACTCATGTATCACAATGGTACTTTTAAAAGTCTGTAATCTTTATAATGGTATTTGAGGAAATAAAACCCTTTCTTTAGATGTTAAGAACCTCCTAGGTAGTTAATCCATAAACATTTACCTTATCTCCCACCCCAAGCATGACAAACTACAGAGAAGATCAGACACCCATTTTTCAGATCTGTTCAAGAAGTACGAATAGTGTAGTTCTTTTTTTTTTTAATTACAATCTGAAAATCTGAATTCAAGTAAAATATTCTGCCTGAACAGGGTTATGTGAGATAAGCCACATATCCAATCACTTCATAGGGATAGCAGGACCCTCCTTACTGCTATTCAAACAACTTAGGTATCTCATGGGGAAGGCAGTGGAGGTGAGCGGGTTGCAAAAGTGGTGAATTTAGGATGAGAAGTTGGGAGGGGTGACAAGAGAGTGGAGAGTAAACCTTGGCCGAAAAGGAAGGAAAACAGTGTGAAGAAGAGATGACTCTACTAGAAATAACGCCTTAAGACCTTACCTCTCACTTGCGAGAGAGTAAGATGAAGGCCACCTGTTTGCAAACTTGGCTCTCAGCCAGAGGGGCGAGGGGCGGGGTGCGGGGGCGGTGAGCCTAGATCTCTGACTCTTCACCCTTGTCTGGGCTCCTAGGCCCGACCATTCATTCAGACTCTCAAAACACGTATTACCAGACCTTGTGCAGGACCACATCTGGGAAAACATCGCCGCACCCTCGGAGTTTACTAGGGGAGCCCCACACTGGACACGCTATCAAGGGACAATGAGAAACGACAAAGAAGAATCGCGGGGACCAGGTACTCCATCGCCAGAGGCACTCCGCCCTCCTGGTCCGTGGGGTCAAGGCCCCACTGCCGCCTCGTATCGCCGGCCCCGATCCTGCCTCCACCGCGCTCCCTTCCCCAAGGTTGGCCCAGGTCTGGAAGTCGCCATCCGGTGTACGAACCTACAGACCCCGCAGCTGAACTCTGAAGATTTTCCCTCCTTCCTCACGCTTCTCCAGCTCCTCAAGCCTTACTGAGCCGCGCCAGCCACCGTACGAGAGGCGGCGGCGCGTCCGTGACGTCACTGCTGTGCGCCTCTCCCTCACCAAAGCGAACATGGCTCTAGCACAGCGGCTGCGGGTGCTGTCGCTCGCGACTCGGTTGCTCCTGGCGCCCCGACGGAACCTGGCTGTCCGCGGTCCGGACGAGCCCCTGCCGGTGGTGCGCATTCCGGTGGCTCTACAGCGGCGGCAGGAACAGCTGCAGAGCAGGCGGCGGAGCTGCCGGACTCCGGTGCTAGTGCGACCTGGACCGTTGCTGGTCTCGGCGCGGCGGCCAGAGTTTAACCAGCCGGCGCGCCTCACGCTGGGCCGCTGGGAGTGCGCGCCGCTCGCCTCGCGTGGCTGGAGGAGTCGGCGCGCGCGTCGGGACCACTTCTCCATCGAGCGCGCGCAACGCGAGGCGCCAGCGCTGCGGAACCTCTCGTCCGAGGAAGGCAGCTTCGCGGATCTGGGTCTGGAGCCCCGTGTGCTGCGCGCACTCCAGGAGGCTGCTCCCGAAGTGGTTCGGCCCACAACCGTGCAGTCCAGCACCATCCCCCCGCTACTTCGCGGCCGCCACATCCTCTGCGCTGCGGAAACCGGCAGTGGCAAGACTCTCAGCTACCTATTACCGCTGCTTCAACGGCTTGTGGGCCGGCCAAGCCTGACAAGCCGGCCAAGCCTGGACTCCCGCCATATCCCTGCTCCCCGAGGCCTGGTCCTCGTGCCTTCCCGAGAATTAGCCGAACAGGTGCGGGCCGTGGCCCAGCCCTTGGGCAGCTCCTTGGGCCTGCAGGTGCAAGAACTAATGGGAGGCCGTGGCATGCGTAGGATGAGGCTGCAGCTGTCCAAACAGTCTTCAGCAGATGTGCTAGTAGCCACTCCCGGGGCTCTGTGGAAGGCCCTGAAAGGTAGACTGATCAGCCTGGACCAGCTCTCCTTCTTGGTGTTGGATGAAGCAGACACGCTGCTGGATGAAAGCTTCCTGGAACTGGTGGACTACATCTTGGAGAAGAGCCGTATAGCAGAAGGCCCAACTGACTTGGAAGACCTCTTCAATCCCAAAGCTCAGTTAGTGCTGGTGGGAGCCACATTTCCTGAAGGTGTAGGCCAGTTGCTGAGTAAGGTTGCCAGCCCAGACTCTCTCACCACCATCACCAGCTCCAAGCTCCACTGTATCATGCCTCATGTCAGACAGACATTTATGAGGTTGAAGGGAGCAGAAAAGGTGACTGAGTTGGTGCAGATCCTCAAGCATCATGACAAAGCACACAGGACTAGACCCTCAGGAGCTGTCCTGGTGTTCTGTAATAGCTCTAGCACTGTGAACTGGCTGGGATATATTCTGGATGACCACAAAATCCAACACTTAAGGCTGCAGGGGCAAATGCCAGCCTCAATGAGGGCAGGCATCTTCCGGTGCTTCCAGAAGGGCTCCCGAGATGTACTTCTCTGCACAGACATAGCCTCTCGGGGCCTGGACAGCATCCATGTGGAGCTGATTGTCAATTATGATTTCCCCCTCACCTTGCAAGATTACATCCACAGAGCAGGGAGGGTGGGCCGTGTGGGGAGTGAGGTTCCGGGCACTGTCATCAGCTTTGTAACCCATCCCTGGGATGTGAGCCTGGTTCAGAAGATCGAGCTGGCAGCTCGCCGAAGGAGAAGCCTTCCAGGACTAGCGTCCTCAATAAGAGAGCCGTTGCCTCAGCAAAGCTGATTTTGGCTAGCTTAAAAGTGATGGCAGAACAGGGATCTTTCCCAGTGTCCTGGGCGTGTAACACACTTCTCAGCTGGAGGCTCTGGGCTGCTCTGTCACCTCCATGAGGGCCAGATGAGCTGGTATATGACTGGGAAAGGTAAGCTACTGAGCATGGCTCTCGGTAGTCTTTCACATGACACAAGAAAAATAAACTGAATTTTTTTTACTTTGTATCGTGTCATAATTTCTAATAATGTGTTTATGTGTCTCCCCTAATAATAATTACCATTGGGGCAGCATTCAGTGGATTCTGAGGATTCACACCCAAAGCTCCACATTTAGGACAAAGGCTCTTAAAGCTGATGTTTTAATTTGTAAACATTTAGGTTTTATCTCCTGCCCCCCAAAAGGTATTAAGCCCCCAGGGGCAGGGAAGTGGGATGTGACTAATAATAGAATTTCTCCTCACCAACAATGCACAAGGCAAGCTTGGGCACCGTTGGTGAAATCACTCTGAGAAGTGCTGGCAGAAAAGTAAAAAGCAGACTGACACAGAAGTATTGCTTGTGTGCTTCCAGCTCTGCCTTCTATCCCAACTCTCCGTAGAGGAAGAGGGGTGATGATTAAACTGTTTTACAAAACTGGCAAAATAGTACATAGCATTCTCTTGCTGTCTCCTGGCTGTCAGTGTCTGTGGCATTATATAAGCTTTCCTTGGAGTAAAGAATAGTTGAGAATCAAATATATTCCACAAAACAAAAATACTTGCATGCTGAAAAGGATAAGGTGGCACAGGACAGAAACAGACCCAGGGCAGCGTTCGCCAAAAGAGAATATTGCACTGAAAGTGCAATTACAGCTCTCCTCATAGGAAGATACTGAGATTCAAAGGGATTAAAGAATACGGTCAAGATCACCTAAGTAAGTAGGACTGAATCTAGTCTGTTTGCACCAAAGGTTCTATTCTTAACTACCATGCTAGCTTTTCTCAAATGTGATTCCTGGGTAGAATAACTATCCATCTCCCTTTTCCTGGGATATTCTTTCCTTTTTTTGTTTGGTGTAGTTTTTAATAATGCCTGCTTTGACTTTCCCAATTTAGATAATTTGGTGACTCTATCCATGGATCGCTGTGGCAGAACTGCCCAGGAAACATTAAAGTGCAGATTCCTGGACCCCACTCCAGATGGGATTGAGCTTTCTGAGAGCTGGACCAAGAATCCTGTTTTTGTAAGCTCCCAGGGGATTCTCAGGGGCTCCTAAATTGATAAACCATTTCTATCCTGTGCTGCTTTCACCAGAATCCCACTTGGTTCCCAGTGAGGTCGTAGTACCCCTGCCAGATGTGAGGGATGCTCCCAGACAGGTACTCTCTCCACAGCCTTGGAGAATGTGAGTGATCTCGTGCTGGCCCTCCTGCCAAGACAAACCTCCCTGGGAACCCTCCCCTTCAAATTTTACCTCCTACCATTCCCCCCAGACAGACTGCTCCAATTGGGCCTTGACTTCTGTCCTAACATACCACACTAATTTAAGCAGCTTGTTGGGGAAGGTGCTATGATTTTCAACCAGAGTTGCCCAACCTCCAGAATAGTTCAGGCAGTCTCTAACACCTGGGTGCATGCCCTTTGCAATAACCCTGTTAAACAATATTCCATGTTTGCTTTTTCAAGGCCCGTAACAGGGAGCCCTGTCCTAAAGGTTATCTCTTTTTGCCAGAAAGTTCTTGGCCACAATGAACCAAAAAGGCTGCTCCCAGTGTGGGCCTGAGCAGGCTAAGGGCAGAGTTGTCTGTTTCCTCCTATGAGTGGACCGAATGCTCTCAGTAACACCTCCGCACAGTGTGGGCCCTGCTCTCCTGGGCTGCTGCTGGGCCACCTCATCCTGTCATGGTGAGGGGACTTCTTGACATTGTTTGCCTTTTTTGTTTTGTTTTGTTTTTGAGACAGAGTCTCACTCTTTTGCCCAGGCTAGAGTGCCGTGGTGTCAGCCTCACTCACAGCAACCTCAAACTCCTGGGCTCAAGCGATCCTCCTGCCTCAGCCTCCCAAGTAGCTGGGACTATAGGCATGCGCCACCATGCCCAGCTAATTTTTTCTATATGTATATATTTTTAGTTGTCCAGATCATTTCTTTCTATTTTTTAGTAGAGACGGGGTCTCGCTCTTGCTCAGGCTGGTCTCGTACTCCTGACCTTGAGCAATCCACCCACCTCGGCCTCCCAGAGTGATAGGATTACAGGCGTGAGCCACCGTGCCCGGCCCTATTTGCCATTTTTGAAGAGAAGAGAGTGTATTATAAGGTTGTCATTTTGTATTGTTAATTTGTCATGAATTTGTTTTGAATTTCATGTTTCAGTTTCACTAAACCTAAGCAACATAGTGAGACCCCGTCTATACAAAAAATACAAAAATTAATCAGGTGCACTGGCCCGCACCTGTAGTCTCAGCTACTCCAGAGGCTGAGGCAGGAGGATCACTTGAGCTAACAGTTTGAGGTTGCTGTGAGGTACGATGATGCCACTGCACTCTAGCCTGGGCAACAGAGCAAGACTCTGTCTCAACCAAAACAAAACAAAAAAACCCCATCATTCCCACCTTGTGAAGTCAAATTTGAGACCCTTGTTTTTGCCCTGGAGCACCTTTAACATCCCTCCCAGTGTTCATCACCTTGAAATGTGATGAGCTTGTCCTCGTACTCCTATCACCTATGAATAGGTGGCTACTTGACTAGGGCATGGGTGTGGAGGGCCAGATGTGAGGGCCCAGGCAGCGTTCCTCTCTGCCTCTGCCCTACTCTCCTCCACAAAACTCCAAGGGCCTGAAGCCTGCC